GCAGTACTCAAGGAGCTCCATGGGGAATTCAGGTGTACAACAAATATTTCCAGAGCTTCTGTTCCTGTGTACTGAGCATTAGTCAGGATAGAACAGAGAAAAGTCTCAAACTGGAGATGCAAAGCTCTTGGGCCCATGGAGAGAAGGGAAAGGTAACCAGCACAGAAACTTGGGTGCCTTCAGCACTGACTGATGGGGGCTGGACACAGATGGAGGTAATGAATGGAGAACGAACATGGGATAAGCGTGGGTGGAGAGGAATGATGGTGATCTGTGGGGACAGGGAAGGGAATGGAGAAACCCTAAGAGTGGATCCAGGGGAAGGGAACGAACCTGAGGGCACAAGAGGCTGACCTGGCTCTGCTGTCTCTCGCACTCAGAAACCTTTCCAGCCCCAAAAACCCTCTTTCCTCCCCAGCAACATCCCAAGGGCCCGGGACACCCGCACCCTTTTCCCATCTCCGTCCCGGCCATCCCCCGCTCCCCCCCGGCTCTCTCCAGCCCCCGCCCCCGGCCCGCCCCGGTCCCGCCCCTCCCGCCGCAGCCGCCGCGGTCCGGGGCTGGGCAGGCGGCGGCGGGGGCGCCGCTCCGGGCGGGCGGCGGGGCCATGCTGGGCAAGGACTACATGCTGGCCATCGTCCTGGTCAACTGCGACGGTCAGCGCGGCGAGCAGGGCGGGCACGGGCACAGCCCACGGGGTCAGGGGCGGGTTGGAGGGCTGGGGATGAGTTGCGGGGCCGGTGCCGGGTTGCGGGGCCGGTGCCGGGTTGTGGGGCCGGGGTCGGGCTGCGGGGCCGGGCCCCGAGGGTGGGAGCGGCGGCCGCGCCCGGAGCTGTCCGCGGTGCTGATCGGGGCCCGCGGCGCCCGGCCCGGCCCGGCCCCGCCGCTCCCCGCCCCGCCAAGGTCGCCGGGAGCCCACCCGGTCCAGGGGCACCTCTATATCCAGGTCTCCCCACCCCCGGAGCACCCCCACCCTGCCACCCCCGGGACCCCCATCCCTCGAGAGCCCCGCCCGACCGCACCGCCCCGGCCGCTCGGAGCGCACCGCCCCCGCGGGCCCGGGCTCGCTCCGGCCGTGCTGCGCCACGGGCTCGAGTCGGTGCCCGCGCAGGGCTGGGGGTGCGGGGGCCACGGCTACCGCACCCTTCGGCTGCAGCCCCCGGGGCACAATCCGCTGCCAGGACCCCGCCGTCTGTCCCGGCCCCTTTCCCGGCCGAGGCCGGGGGAGCACCGGGCTGGCGGCCGCGGGCCAAGCCTGAGCCTGGGTGCCCCGCAGGGTTCCCGGCCTGGCAGGCCCAGGCTGCCCCTGCCCTCTGTGCCCTGCCGGGGTTCCGCTGTCCCCCCGGGAGCCAGCGAGGCAGTTCCCTGCACTGGGGTCTGCCACCGCTGCAGCCACCCTGGCATCGTGCCATGCTCCCTCGCCAGGCTCCTCTCCCAGCCCATATGCCCAGCCACGCATACAGAGGCCACTGCAAAACCCTTCTGCTGCTGGGCAAAGCTGTTGGCTCCTCAGGGCAACTGGGGGATCTTCCTCCCCACCCTGTATCTCACACACCCTCTCTCTGCACAGACAACCTCTGGAGTGACCAGAGCCTGGAGACAGACCCTGACCTTCCCCCAAGCTGGAGGAAAATCTGTGACTCTCTGGGTACCTATTACTGGCATGTGCCGACAGGCACGACACAGTGGCAGCACCCTGCACGCACCACTGGCCCAGGAGGGCACACGGAGCCTGATGGAGAGGAGACACTCCAGGGAAGGGTAGGGAATGTGGGCAGGGGTGTGAGGGCTGGTGTTGGATTCCACCCCTGGCAGAATCCTGCTGAAGGGCCCTCTGGACTGGTCCAACCTCCTGTTGGAGCACCTTGTCTGTGTGACCCTGAAGTCCTGCTCAGCCCCATTCTGGGGTTAAGCCCTTTGAAAGGCTCCAGCAGGTCCCCTCCTAGGGCTCATGATAGTTGGACTCATCTTGACTATCCAAGATGCTCATAAGCTTGTTGCTGTCCTGGGAGGAAGGGCTCCTACCTGATGCCTCCTGACTGCCTCTCTTGCAGCTGTCACCCCTTTCCTCTTCTCTCCCAGGAATGCCAGGGCCCTGCAGCGAAGCACTCGGCAAAGGACTGGCCCATTCCCAGCCCCATGGCTTCACTGTCCCGGAGGTGGGGCTATCCTTGTGCTTTGCTGGCTTGTTTGTGGGGTACCACTGATCCTTGACCAGCCCTGGGTGCTGGGCCCTGGTGCTCCCCCCCCATGCTGGAACCAGCAGGACCATGCTGGGCACTCCCATGGGATGCTTCCCAACTGCTGGTTCCAGGGCATCCTGATGCTTCCCTGGATGCCCCAGGAGCACACAGAGGGAGCTTTTCCTCACTGCCTCATCCCTTTGCAGGCACTCACTGTCCTGGCATGGAGATGACTTCCAGCACAGCGCAGAGCCCGACTCCAAGGTACTGCACCCGCCAGCTTCACTGCCGCATCGTGGGCTGTGCTGGCACAAGAGGAGGAGGGTGGCAGCTGGCAGGGACGTGGATGGGAGCCAGAGCAGGGGTGACCACTCTGTCATGGTGAGGCGTGCAGGATGGAGGTGGCTGTGCCAATGGCACTGAAGCCCCTCGTGTCTCTGCTCAGTGCTTTGCTGTGCGCTCTCTGGGCTGGGTGGAGATCCCCGAGGAGGACCTGGCACCTGGCAAGAGCAGCATTGCTGTCAACAACTGCATCCAGCAGCTCTCCAACAGCAAGGGCCAGGGCGCTGCGGAGAACCAGGGTGAGGTAAGAGCCTGGGATGGTGCTGCCAGGAAGGGTCCTACCCCAGGGCCACTGTTGCTGAGGCTGGAGGGGAGCAGGTGGTAGAGTCAACTCTGTCTCCGATGGTCCCGGGTGTAGAGCAGGTGGGTCTGACAGGGCTGTTCCTTGGTAACAGTGCCTGGGTGAGTCCCCACACATGGGAATGGTAGCTGGGAAGGGCAGGGGAGGAACAGGGCTGACCCCACAGCTGGGGTGGAGTAGACTGGTGGGGAAGGGGTTTGCCTACACCGGGGCTGGGTGCTGGGGATGCCCAGGCTGTCTGCCAGGCTGAGGGAACCACTGCCCCTCTGCAGGGCCAGGACCTAGTGATGATTCTGAAGAAGGACACCATGAGCCTGGTGGACCCCCTCGACCGCAGCCTCATCCACCGCCAGCCCATCCTCAACATCCGTGTCTGGGGTGTTGGCTGCAACAACGGCAGGTGCCAGGGGCGAGGGCAGAGCTAGGGGCCAGGGGGGTGGCTCTGCCCTCTTGGGGGAGGCACCCCAGCATTGACCTGTCCCCTCTCCTCCCTCCCGACTGCCACCGCGGCTGCAGGGACAGGTAAGGGTGCACAGGGCTGGGGGGCAGTACAGGCAAGGGTCTGCCTCTCTCGGGGTCTCACTGCCTTGTTCATGGCCTTGCAGAGACTTTGCCTTTGTGGCCAGTGACAAGGACACCTGCGTCCTCAAGTGTCACGTCTTCCACTGCAATGTGCCTGCCAAGGGCATCGCCAAGGCTCTGCACGAGATGTGCTCCAAGGTGGGATGCACACCCGGAGGGTGTGAGCATGGCCTGAAAATCTCGGGTGGGAGGGGAGGCTCCGGGACCCCCGTCTCTTGCAGATCGTGGCTGAGCGAGCTGTAGCGAGCAGCAGGCTGCCCCGCGCCGCCACGCTGGAGCCCATCTCTGCCGAGGACCTGCCACTGCAAGGTAGTGGCATTTCTGCCACGGTCCGCCTTTGAGCCAGAGCACTCTGGCTTGTCCGGCTGTTTCCCTGGGCTCCTTGGGGATGGGGGGGACACAGCGGGGGACACAGGAGTAGCCCCACCTCTCTTGTCTTGGCAGTGGATATCCTAGAAGCCGTGAGGCAGTCGATGCAGACCTACGAGGCGCTGTACATCGGCAGCCTGCCCGTGCCCAGGGCCATGGGTAAGCGCCGCTGCTCCCCCGCAGCTGGGGGACGCCCAGGAAGCTCCCCCGTGCCGTGGGCCGGCCGGGCAGCCGTGCCCTGCCCCGCACCATGCCCGCAGCCGGGGCCGATGGGATGGGGTGTCCCTCTTCTCAGGGATGGATGTGTTGAACGAGGCCATCGAGAAGCTGACGAGACGCCCAGGGCGGGAGAACTGGACGCCCTCCCTCATCTACGTGTCCGACACGGCCATGAGGGTGCACTCAGCGCAGGTGGGGAGGGGACAGGGGGCTGTGGCCGCAGCGGGCACGGCGCTGCCCCCGGCAGAGCGGACCTGGGGGGCGGCAGGGCTGCCCGGGCGGCGGCCAGGGCTGGATGGGCCCGCGGGGTCCCCGCAGGAGCCCGAGGAGGCGGCGCACATCTGGGAGTGCCAGGTGCGGTACGTGACCTTCCTGGGGGTGGGCCGGGACGCGCACACCTTCGCGCTCATCGTGGACACGGGGCGACGCTTCCAGTGCGCGGCCTTCTGGTGCGAGCCCGACGCCGGCACCATCTCGGAGGCAGTGCAGGCCGCCTGCATGGTGAGCACCGGCGGCGCCGCGGTGGAGACGCGCAGCCCCGGGGAGGGCGGGGGTGACCCCGGTGCCGGGTTTCCCCCGCGCTGCCTCTCGTGTCCCCGCAGGTGCAGTATCAGAAGTGCCTCGTGGCCGCAGCACCGGGTGCGAAGGCGAAGAGCGCGGCTGGCCGGGGCCGGGCCGGGCCGGCGGCCGCGGGGGACTCTGCCCGAGGGGCGGCCAAGGCGGGGGGGGGCGGCGGCGGCGGCGCGGGGGCCGGGGCCCGCAAGCGGGGACTCTTCTCCTTCCTGGAGGTGTTCCGCCTCCGGCGGGCCCTCCTGCACAGCCCGTAGCGGGCCGGGCCGGGCCGGGGCCGGGGCCGGAGCCGCCGGGGAGGAGCCCCCGGCCCCAACCCCGACCCCGGCCCCGGGCGCGGCCCCCGGCGGGGCGGGGACAGGCGCGGCCCCGCCCCTCCCGCCCCTCCCCGCCTCACGGGCCGGAAGGGGCGGGGCCGGGCGTGACGTGGCGGGATGGCGGAGTCCTACGTGAAGCCGGGTGAGGGGGCGCGGGGCGCGCGCGCGGCACTTCCGGTGCGGGGGGGTCCCGGTGCGGGACAGTGCCCGGTGGGAGCGCGGGGCCGCGCCCGGGGATCGGCTGCTCCTTGGTCCGTGTGTGGGGGGGACGCCGGGGCCGTACCGGCCGTGGGGAGCGCCGGGAGGGACGTGCCGGGGGGTCCCGCTTGGCGCGGGGGCTTCTCGGTCTCCTCCGGTCTCACCGCGCCCTTCACTGCTGCAGGGAACCAGGAGCGCGGCTGGAACGACCCCCCCCAGTTCTCGTACGGGCTGCAGGCGCAAGCCGGGGGCTCCCGCCGGACCCCGCTCACCCGCCGGGCCCCCGCCCCGCCCGCGGGGGCACCCCCAGGTCAGCACCGCGGAGCCCCCGCCTGTCCCTCACCCTGCCCGGCCTCCCCCTCCGGCTCCCGGCGGAGCTCCAGGGGCCGCTCCCCGCCGGGATCCGCGGGGAACTGCGGCAGCCGCGGTGCTGGGGGCGGCGGAGCCGGGGCTCTGGGTCGCCGTTCTGCGGGGCCCGGTGTCAGCTGGGTCCGAGCTGACGGGCTCGGCACCTCTGCCCTGCAGGTGCCTCCCCGGGCCCGCCCAGCGCCCCCGCCGACCCCGCAGCGCCGCCCCCCCGGGCGCTGGGGCCGCCCCCGCAGGGTTCCGTCGGCGCTGCCCCGCGGGCCGAGGCCCGGCCGAGCGCGGCTCCGTGCCCGGAGCAGGAGGAGTGCAGCGTGTCCGCCGACACCGTCCTCGCCCCGCTGCGGGCAGCCCTGGACTCCTGCCGGGCCACGGTGCAGGTGAGGCTGCGGCCCCTCCCGCCACCTCTGAGCCCGCGGTGCAGGAGGGATGGCAGCCGGGGTAGCCAGGCAGAGGCTGCCGGGTTCCAGGAGACCTCGGGGGGAAGAGAGCCGCCCCAGAGCTGGTGGGGGCACATCCCCCTCACTCCCAGCTCACCTCTGCTTCCAGAAACAAGTGTGCAATGACATCGGGCGGCGGCTGACAGTGCTGGAGGACGCTTGGGCTCAGGGGAAGCTGTCGGCACCAGTGAGGAAGAGGATGAGCCTTCTGGTGCAAGGTATGGGTTGAAGGGGGTTGCAGCCGCCCCAGCAGCAGGCCCTGGGGCAGAGACACCTGCGGGACGGTGGATCCTGCGCCCCTGACGGGGTCCCCTGTCCTGGCAGAGCTTCAGCAGCAGCACTGGGATGCAGCTGATGAGATCCACCGCTCGCTTATGGTGGACCACGTGAATGAGGTGAGCCAGTGGATGGTGGGCGTGAAGCGCCTCATCGCCGAGACGCGGGACCTGCCCACCGGAGAGACGGACGGCAGCGCTGACACCGAGCCCGCGACTGAGCCCGAGACTGAGCCTGCAGCCGAGCCCGAGCAGGAGGAGCCCTGACACCAAGGACGGGGCTGTGGACTGTGAGCGGGGCAGCCCCTGCCCAGGGCCACCGGCACGAACAGAGCCCCTGCTGCTGGAGGGAGTCTGGGCACCCCCTCTGCCTCCCAATCCTCATCCAGGAAAAGGGGATTTTAATCATTGCGACATTTTAGTGGCGATTCATTATGTTTAATAAACAGCACCAACCTGCCCCCTCCCACAGTGTTCCTGAGGGTTCTGGCATTGACATGTCCAGGGTCAGTAGGAGATGGGATTGCTGGGTGAGGCCCCGGGGCTCTGACCTTGGCAGGGTGCTCTTAGCCAACAGGATGTCGAGGGAAGAATTAGCAGCATCTGCCTGGAGCAGGCAGCACTGTGTGTCCGTGCTGCACCGGCTGGCAAAGCTCGGCCCCCTCATCTGGCAGTGGGGGGCCTACAGCATCCCCAGAGCCCAGCCCTGCTGCAGGAGGGGTCTAGGGTGGCTGGGGATGCCCATGTGCCAACAGCCCCTGGCATGACCAGGGTTTGTGCTGCAGCTCCTGCTGTCTTGGCACAGCTCAGAGCTGAGTCTGGAACCCAAGAGACCTGGGTGACCTCAGGGACAGGGAGGTCCAGGGACAGCCACATGCCCAGTCAGGTGTCACCTGCTGTGCTCCCCCTGTTCACAGGACAGCCTCACCAGCTACCTCCAGCACAGCTGAGAACAGACCCCCAGGCCCTCACCACCCCCACCTGCAGTGTCACCCTCTGCACCCTCGTGGTGCTGCTCATCTCCCCTCCCTGGGGCTTAGGACCCCACTGAGCCCCAACAAAGACACACACCATGTTAGCACAGGGGTTTCACGGTGTTTATTGATCAAGCATGAGCTCCTAGGCAATTGCACCAGCCACTTGTGCTAGAGCCTGAGGTGTCACACGTCCATCCCCAGCATCAGAGAGGGCTGCAGCCAGCTGGTCACGGTGCCAGCACCTCCACGAGGCCCAGGAACAGGCCCAGCCATGGCCTGGAGACGGGGAGATGGAAACTCAGATGTCCATCTCAAACTGGTCTTGATCTGCATGGATGGATACAGGACCAGGGTTAGGATGGGGCTGGTTTGGCAGGCAAAGGGAGCAGGAGCTGGAACTGGGGCCAGGCTGGGATTTCACCCTGTCCCATGCCCCAGGCAGGTGGTCCATGGGCAGGGGCTGCTCACCTGGCATGGCCTCTTGGCTCTCATTCCGCTCCTTGAGCTCCTCCAGCTTGACGAGGCTGGACTGGGCCAGGGATGTGACACCGGGGGTCTGGGGCAGGCAGCAGGGAGGGGTCCTGGCCGCGGGTGAATTCTTGCACTCCAGCAGGAACTTGCGGTCGCAGATGATGCGGGTACCTGCCAAAAGCAGGGGCTGTCAGGCACTGCTGGGCCTGGCCACCCCCGCCCCTGAGCACCTCAGCCCAGAGCAGGGGGTGGGACCCAGTGTTCGGCCATGGCTCATGGACACATCTGGCTCTGGAGCCACCACATCTGGCTTCCCACAAGGCAGCCTGTGACACCCATCCTGCCCAGCACCTATTCCCCATATTATTCCTCCTCTTCAGGCTCCTGGAGCTCAGCAGGATGCAGCACAGGGGGTCCAACAAGCCAAGGGCTACCCCATGGTGGCCAACATGGGCCAGTCCTGGGGCACACAGCCTGCTGGCCAGGCAGCACCAGCTTCATGTGGTGCCCTGTTCCAGGGTGGAGCAGCAAGGGCTGGGTATCCCACGGTGGGCACCCTGGGGACCCATTCCCGTTGTCTCAGCCAGCCACCTGCTGTTCCCTGCAAGAGGACAACAGCTGTGTTCCATGGGACATCTCCTCGAGCCTGCTGGGTGTGCAGTGTCCACCCGGAGCACACTCTGCCTCCTCCCCATGCTCCAAATGCCTGAGGTCACACCAGCCTGTGTGCCACGTCTGCAGCCCTGCTGTGCCCTGCCCACCCCTCCCTGCAGCCCAAGCTCTGGCAGTGGGTGCAGCCCAGGGTTCCAGGGAGCCCGGAGCTGCTGCCCGAGGTGCCAGTGAGCCCTGAGCTCCTGCTGGGCACTGCAAACGTCCTACACAGCCCACACCTGCCACAGCCCTGCAGCACTGGGCGGGGCTCTCTCAGCCCAGAGCAGCTTAACTGAAGGCACACGATGGAGCCAGTGCACACAGGGTGGGCACCTGCAGTTCAACCCAGACAATGGCCAGCTCAGGAATGAGGCACATGCTTCACTGAGGACAGACAGCAAGAAAAGGATCTGCTCAGCGGCTGACCCAGGAGGTCAGAAGGGGGAAGGAGGACAGATCTTGGGGAGTCCTGCCACCCAGGGCTGGTGAACTCGACTGGGCACAGGCTCTGCTGTTACCCCCATGCTTTCCCTGGATCCAGACAGCCTGCCCTGAGGGACCAGCACTGCACTCACCAACCCCTGGCACTGCCACCAGCCTCTCCCCAGAAGCACAAGGCCCTGCCTGTGCCCCCTGTAACCATGGGGCACTGATGGTCCGAACTTCCAGCAGGATCTTCCTACAAAACTTTGAGGTTCTCTTTTCCACTTTAGTGGAGTCTGCTGAGGCCACTCGGATCTGGTGCCCAGAGCAAGTGCCCACGTCCTCAGGGAAGGAGCTGTCGGCGGGGGGGAACCCAACAAGGGACCTGTGCAGCAAAGAACTGCCTACGGTACACAGGGCTGGGGTGGCCAAGGCTGTTCTGGGGACAGCCCCATCCTCATCCTGGGTCTTGCCACAGACTAGACTGTGCCACCTGCCCTGGAGCTGCAGCCCTCCAGGATGGAGAGCCAGTGGCTCTTCAGGATGTGGCAGGAGGAGGTGGCACAGAAATGAGCACCCCACCCCTCCCCTGCACCTCCCCCCCAGAGCCCACACCTACTGTACCAAACACTGCTTGTTGTCAATGCAATTGCTGCTGACTTGTTCCCTGCCCAGGGCAGGGCATTGGACTGGGTGATCTTTAAGGCCACTTCCAGCACAAACCTTTCTGTGACTCTGATTCTATGTGTATCTCCTTTGGTGTTGGCACTACCACTGGGGCAGCAGCAGTTCATTTTTCTTTTTTTTTGCATTCTGTCCTCAAATAACAAGAAAAATATCTGAATATACCATCCAGTAGTGCTTCTGAGATTGATTTGCCTGTGGTACGTGGATACTGCTTGTGCAGTTTGGGTTTTCAGTACTTCTTTATGCTTTTGCTGGGGAAACTGTGCTGCTGCATTTAAGGATTTGTCTGGATAAGGTGAAAGAAGGTGAAGTCTCCACCTGGTCTGACACTGATCCATTGGTTTAGATACAATATGCTCTGGAGTTTGCTGCTTAAGAATGTATCCAACATTCCATGTAGTTACTGCACTGCTTCAGAGCAAAAGCAGAATTAAACACAGTCCAAGTGCAGAAAGTAGAGAACTAGGTCAGGAGTTAATGTTCATCTTAAGCAGTGTTCAAAAATCCTTTTCTTCCTCACAGAACGGACTTGAGGAGCTCTTAGCAGATTTACAGCATTACAAGCAGCTTAGAACTGAATCGATTACATTTTCCTCTAACGGGAAGCACTTTTTAAGATTTGCTTCTGGTCAGGTGAAGGAACTCTGCATTCACCAGTCACTGTTGTCAGCCCTTCTCTGCAGCCCTGAGCAAAACCTGACCTCTCAGGTGACCACCTGCCAGAAGCAGCAGAACTAATCCAGAAGGAAAAAAACCATAACACAGAAGCAGGTTCACACCAATAAAAGGCTCACAAGTGGCAGGGGCAAGGACTCTGCAGACACCTGTGGCTCCAAACCCTCCCAAACCTGCCTGCACCCCTGCTCAGTGTGTGACCCTGGGGAGATGCATCACCGGGCAGGGCAGCAGCTACTGAGGACAAGAACATACAGCCCTTTCCAAAATTCTCACACACAACCTATAAATGCTGTTTGCCTTTTATTGAGTATTCAGGTAAATATTTCACATTAATACAGGCTACATAAAGTAGAGCCACTATACGACATGAAATTTACTCAGCTTTTCCTTTTAAGTCTGTAAACAATTATACAGGTATTTACCACCCTAAAAGGTTGAAATCATGTCATCAGCTAGTTCTCTGCTGCATACAAGGAGCATTCAGTAGTGTTTAGCCAAAAGCACTAGTTTTGTCTGATTTTTAAGTTTGAAGTGGCTAAACTAACTGGAGAACAGAATCAGTTTGTATAGGTAAGTCAATTTGTTCTTATACAATGGGCAATCGAGATTCCATTGTTACAGCCCACAGAAAATTGCTTAGTTAGGCACATGAAAAAAATCCCCAGGGTTCTTCAAGGTCATAAAGATTCCCAAACCAGGCTAAAAAAGGACAGACCCCCTTAAATCAGTTGACGTACTTGAGATGCATGTTTCCAATGTGAGGTGCCCAGGTGCCAGGCCAAATCTACAGCAAGAAATAAAAAGACAAATCTATTATAAAAACAAATAAAGGTTCCTTCAACAGTGTTTTACCACTGAGGGTGAGCATAAGGCTTCCCTCAAAATACAACCAGACTGTCCAAAGGCAGGAGCTCTCCAGCTCTGGCCAAGGTCTGACTGACAACCTGCAAGGTGCCGAGTATGGATAGAAACCCTCTCACTTGGAACAGTCCATTACCTGGCTGAGCAGTCTTGAAATGCTGCTTGTTTTACCTGGAAGGTTTGGTACCAATAGCACCATGGATATCTTATGAACACACACACACACACACACACACACAGAGTAGGGAAAAGTCATGCAAACAATCTCAGTCCTAGTTTCAAAGAACTGAAAAAACCAAATGTGTCACCCAGCCAAAACTGAGTATCACAGCACCGTATAAAGCCCCAGGAAAGCACAGGTGGGAAAAGGCAGCCACACTACCTGCTGAGCATCAGTACATTCTGTTGAGTTCTGGACAACTTTGATCATGGGATTCCAGGCAGGATCTGGAGTATGGAGCCCGTTAAAGAGGGGCCCCCCTGGGCCATCTGCCAGCTGGGGGTGCGAGGGTATCAGAGTGCCGCCGTACATGGAGATGGGCAGGCCCTGAGGGGACAAGAGAGCACTGGTGAAGGACATGGGGAGGGGTGGATGTAGGACAACACAGAGCCAGGTCACCTCACAGGTAATGTCCCACTACTGGCAGGAATCTCAGCACTGTCAGGGAACACTGGAGCAGAGTATGGAACACAGGGACTTCAGAGCTGGAGATTCCAGC